TGTAAAGACGTGGATTATTTAATTTTAAAACACGCGTCTTATCGCTAAAACATAACTCTTCACAACATACTTGAGTATTTTTTTTAAATATGCAAGGGATGCTTCAGTGCTATAGAAAGTTAACGAAACAATACATGATGACCTGTAAAGGAGGGCACATGAATCTCCGCACTATTTGTAAAGTTAATAAAATGTTTTTTTTGTTTTGTAGTGGGAATACAGGAATAGACTTACAAAAGCATGTGCCCCTCAGTGGCACAGCGGTATGTCTGCGAACTTGCAAAACTAGAAACCGAGTTTCGATACCCGTGGTTTGGCAGGCATAGAAAGCCCATTGTGTAGCTTTGTCCTTAATTACAAGCAAACAAAACAATGCATGTTAACATGTAAGGGAGGACACGTGAATCTCCTCACTACTCGTAGACTTAATAGAGGTTTTTATTTTTATTGGTAATACATGAATAATATAGATTACTGGATTGAGTATGTGACTGGAAGTAACATAAAAACTTATATGCAAAACTTTATTTATTTATAACATTTGCTGCATGAGCCAGTTTTATAAAATAGTGTTCTTACAGTCTAAAGCATTTATTAAGTTAATATAAGTTATTATTCGATATTTATCAACTCTCAAAGATTATGTTTTGTAATTAACAGAATTATCATATTTGTTACTTGAAGATTTATCATTTGATAAAAGCATGTGTTTAGAAACTCAATTAGTCACTTAATTAAAGGAGACCTCGAAGAACCGAAAACAACTACAAGAAAATACACACAGACGAGTGAATTGAAATATCGATAATAACATAAACACACGGAGAATTACAGTAACATCGTAGTAGACGGTACATATCATTAAGAATATGTTGTTATGAGATGCAGTAGGTAATTCTATATAGAGAATTTCAGAAGTATAATATTAAACGGTATATAAGGCAATCATAGACCAACTATTAAATACTACAGCGAGACGTCAATGAACTGTTAAAAAAACTGAAGTAAAAATCAAAGATGTTAGGGTAGTATACAGAAGGCAGCTCAACCAATTAATAATATTACACACAGACAGTACAGTAGATACATTGATTACGTTATATTACTGATATAAATGATACGTTAGTTTAATACGCAGAAAAATATTATACAGGGTAAAATATGGGAAAGTACGGCAAGCAGCGTAGCCTACACATAAGAGTACACGTAGAAAGAGTACAGTATATTCCGTATAATACAGAGAAAACTCATATTCACAGCCTAACTTCGACCCACAAAACATTTCATGCCCTTTGCTTGAATGTTCCTCATTCTATCATTTTCAGGCACGCCCGTTAAGCTACGATTTCTTGCAGGCATTGTGTTAGATCGATAAATCCTGGTCTATTTGAGAAAAAAGTTACGCGGTCAGACAAACAAACTCACGTAGCTGTAACTTAATTTAATAAAACTACACGTAAAGTAAACAATAAAGTATAGTAATGATTATTATAATAGTGTACAGAGTATGAAACAGTTATGAATGTTTAGTGTACGACACGGTTTTACGAATTGAAACAAAGAAACTCATAAAAACGAAGAATCAAATCTGTAGTAAAGAATAAAGTAGCTAAAAGGTGTTTAAAGTAGTCTATGAAATGAACCAAAGCTAAATTATTCAATATAAAATAAATGTAAAGTTGTACTGAAGGCAAACTCAGCTGAATATGCAGAAACGTCTGAATGCGTGTTCACAAAGTGATAATCATATGGGTTTGAACGAACTGCGCATGCGTATTTTAGACCCAAATAAGTCGAGAAAGCCCATGTAAGTTGTATTTAATGTAGTGTTCATTTTTTTTAGAAAACTACACGCGTTTTAAGTGTTGTTTGTGTTAAATACTTTGCAAATGAAAAATTTTAGTTTAAATTGAAGCTTGTTTTGTTTTGAATTTCGTGCAAAGCTACACGAGGGCTATCTGCCCTTTGCCGTCCCTAAGTTATCAGTGAAATACTGGAGGGAAGACAGCTAGTCATCACCACCCACCGCCAACTCTTGGACTACTCTTTTAACAACGAATAGTGGGATTGACCGTCAATTTATAACGACCCCACGGCTGAAAGGGCGAGCATGTTTGGTAGGATTCGAACTTGCGACCCTCAGATTGCGAATCAAGCGCACTAACCATCTGGCCATGCCGGGGCTCTAACCACCTGGCCATGCCGAGCCACAAACTTGAAGCCAGTCATCATGTGATGACAATGAAACTGTACCATCGTGTACCAAACTCATTACATTGAAAAGTTTGAATAAGCAAAAACAGGTAAGATGATTCCGAATTAAAAAGCCAATATACAATCCGGACTCCTTGGACAAAGGCCTCTCTAACGATATAGATTTGTAGCGTTTCATCGAGAAATTTGCGAGAAAAGTTCCGGACAGACAGACACAAGCGTATTATTTATATAAACAGTGCATATAAAAATAGAACGAGTTCTTTACTAGAAGTAACAACTATAGTTGAATACGGAATGAAATGATACCTACAGTATATTGCGCAGAGAAATATCACACACAGTTTAGCACACAGAAATAATACGGGGAGGTATAATACACATAGCATAGTACAGACAGTTGTTGTTGTTTGTTGAACTTCGAGCAAAGCTACTCGAGGGCTACTTGGGCTAGCAGTCCCTAATATTGAAATTATAGACTGGAAGGAAGGGAGATAATTAACACTACCCACCGCCAACCTTTGAGGTACTCTTTACCAACGGATGGTGAGATTATCCAACAAATTATAGCACCCCTACAGATGAACAGGTTCGATAAATGGATTCGAACCAGCGACCCGAAGATTGCGGATCAGATACCCTAACCATAAGTCAATGTTGTACACTAAAGAATAGTATATACACTACACATTGAAATACACAATTCAGTATACAGCACACTGTATAATACAAACACCATAAAATACAGAGAATTGTTTGTTTGTAATTAAGCACAAAGCTACACAATGGGCTATCTGTGCTCTGCCAACCAGAGGTATCGAAACCCGGATTCTAGCGTTGTAAATCCGCACACATACCGCTGTGCCACTGGGGGGCCAAATACAAAGAAATAACACACATTAAAATAATAATATTATAATAATAATATTATAGTACACAGCGAAATAATAGACAATAGAATATTAAACTGTAGTACACACTAAATAGTACAAACAGTATACACAGAAATGTAGCACACAGCTACACAGCACATTAGCAGTATTACACAATAACATGTAGTATAGTAATCCCAGAATTTGTTTGTTTTTAATTGTTTATATCAGTATTATACAATAACATGTGGTATAGTAATCCCAGAATTTGTTTGTTTTTAATTGTTTATATCAGTATTATACAATAACATGTAGTATAGTAATCCCAGAATTTGTTTGTTTTTAATTGTTTATATCAGTATTATACAATAACATGTGGTATAGTAATCCCAGAATTTGTTTGTTTTTAATTGTTTATATCAGTATTATACAATAACATGTGGTATAGTAATCCCAGAATTTGTTTGTTTTTAATTGTTTATATCAGTATTATACAATAACATGTGGTATAGTAATCCCAGAATTTGTTTGTTTTTAATTGTTTATATCAGTATTACACAATAACATGTAGTATAGTAATCCCAGAATTTGTTTGTTTTTAATTGTTTATATCAGTATTATACAATAACATGTGGTATAGTAATCCCAGAATTTGTTTGTTTTTAATTGTTTATATGAAGTTAAGCACAAAACTACATAATGGGCTATCTGTGCTCTGCCCACCACGGGGATCGAAAC